AAGCCGAGAAAAGACGAAAAGAAAAGAAAAGAAAAGAAAAGAAGAAAAGAAAAGAAAAGAGAAAAGAAGAAAAGAAAAGAGAAAAGAGAAAAGAGAAAGAAAAAGACACATCCTGTCTACTGTAAGGATACATATAGTATTAGGTACTCTCAGGGAGTCTAAGATCAAGAAGATTTGTTTTGCTTTTAATGCATAGTGAAAATGTTGGCACTTCATCCCATGCTATTGTCTGCATTGCCTATACTCCACAGATACTGCCAGTGCTTGACAAGAATGACAGGGAATCGTAGGATTGTGCTGTTTAATTTGAAGTCAGCAGCTTTTTAAGGCTTTCTGCTAACAATAATTGCTTTCATACATTTCTGTCTATCAGCAGTATTTGTAAATGAAGTGAAATTGCAATGATCAGGTCAGCTCTTTAGTCACATGGGTAAACTTTCACTCTCCAAAGTCAAAATGTAATTGTAAAATAAAGACATAAGATACCAATATCCTCGATGGTCTAAATATAATACACAGCTAATTAGGAACTTCCTCTAGATTCAGATTGAATTATGTAGGGGAAAATACTATTGATGATAACAATAAATTCTTACTGCATCCGTACAAAAGACGACAGAAAAAATGACAAATACAGAGTGCCACAACATATTCAACCTTCCCCCAAACTCCTGGAGACGATCCTTTCTGAAAACGTGAGAAAAGGAGAGCCACTGGAGAAAGCACGAGAACTAGCAGCTAGCTTTCTTTCCGTCTGCTGACGTATCGTGGTATAGCATTCAGGCAAACCCAGATCCATCATGGACTTTACACTCTAGCTCAGATTTTCGTCAAGACTATCTCCAGCTTCAGAAGACAAGTGCAGCAGCACATTGCTAAAATAGATTTTTTTTTTTTTTTTTAAAGCTGCACTTACTGTAATTTTAAAAATCCAATTTGGCTATCTGGACCCTGCATAGCCAGGAGGACACTGCCATTTTTGTATATGCTTGATTAGATTTTTATGAAAATGTAATTTTTATTCTTCTGATTAGGAAAAGACTAATTATATTTTACAGCTACAAACAAGGTTTGGTTTTGTTTTTTTTTTTTCCTTTGCCTCAGCACTGTGAAGTGAAGATGCTTTCTTCTACTATGTCTAAGATCATTCAAAAAGTGCTTTTCAGGACAGATGTTGAATACAGACAGAAAACTTTGTATACTGGAAAGGGGATTTTTGGGGGCAGAATGGACTAAGAAAAGAATAAATGTAGGGACTAATGCCATTTAAAGCAAGACCGAGACATGGCAATATAGGACGCTGAAGGTTTCATTTTTACTCTATGGAGAGTGAAATGCTTCCACTTTAATAAGCTGACCATATTCCAAAATCAGCGTGGTTGATACAATACTATGGTGCATGAGTTACTGGCCTCACCCTGCAAGAACGGTATTTGATTTGTGCAAACGTCCCTTGCTGCAATTTAGAGAAACAGCAACCTGGCATGTTGATTACTGGTGCAGGGTATTTATCGTTTCTGGAAGGAAAGCATGAAAAATAGGATTTGCTTTTTTTTGGGTATCACTTCTTGGAGTGAGTACCTAAAGTAGATGTTGTAGTTTTTTGAAGCATGAAACAAAATCTAGTTATTGGTTAAAAACTATATAAAATAATAAAAAAAAAAAAAGCTTGAAGCTTATGAAGTGACTCCACAGAGTTCAGACCTTTAGCAGTATAAACATAATATAAACTTCATTGTCTGTAGTATTGTGCCATGACATTAGTCTCACTAAGACAAAATGCCACTTTGCAGCAAGCAATAAATCTGACAAAGCATTTTTAAACATAATGCCCTAACTTGCTAAGACAGGCTTTTACACACTTCCAAACTCTTCTCCCTGAAAATTAACCCCGTTGATTCTCCAAATGTTAAGGGTCTCGGGCAAAAGTAAACCAAAGGCTGAAGTAAAATAACCATCCCCTTGGAACTGAACGAAAACTTAAATCCAGGAGGGATCACAGTCTAATTTCATATACATATATATGTATGCAATACACATATATATGAAATTAAATAGAGACACACATGAATTGGGCATCAGAAGGGGACTGCTACTTTCATACATTCATAAATAGCTGCTGAACTCTCTACTCATGAAGAAGCTCTTGTAGGCAGTTTGGGGATTTGAAAATCTCGGGGACCTCACTGTCCAGCTTACAGATGACCTTGTATATGGCCTTCTTCCAGGAAGGATCAACATCTTTGCCTGCGATAATGGCATTGAAAAACTCCCGTAACGTGATCTGAGCCACTTCCAGGAATCTCTCTGGAACCTGCTGATACAAGGAGACAATGGCATTAATACAGTTTTCAATTTCAAGTCTCTGGTTCTTCAAAGGAAACTGAGCTAAGTTCTTTCTTTCAGAAAGGGGCTTACATAGCACCTGCATTTTCTAAATGTGGCAGCCTTCTATTCTCTTATGCAAAGCTGTTATATATAGTACTATCGCAATAACTTTTATAACATGTGTTAGAGATCTTTGTAAAGTCTACTGACAGCATGTAGGTAACAAAATGTTACTGTCTGAGTCTGGAGAATGGGGGATTTATAGGATATAATTAGCAGGAGGGGAAACAAACACAATTGTCTTTAAGGAAAGAAATCTCTGCTTGATATTTTACCCCTGCATTTATGGCTATGTTCTCCTCTCCGTGTGGGAATTAATGCGAAAGCTATGCACACACAGAAAGCCCCCTGTACCCCTGCGCTTAACTCTGGTCACAACCCGTGCTGAAAGCTATCAAAGGAACAGGGTATCTCTGAATGCTGTTTGTGGTTTAAAAACAAGCAAGCAAACAAGCCTTCAGCTAAGGGCTTACTGCGATGGCTGCTGTGCATGAGACCTCCATAAGGTGGCTTTCTTGGGAGACATTATCGTCTTCTCTTCTTTTTCAGAAGCCTACAAATAAAAACCCCAACCTCTCCAATGAGTGCATTGTGCTCCAAGTGGTTATGGAGCTGGGATGTGTTAAACTCATCCGGGTTTTCTAAATGTCATTGTCACGTCACAGGTGAGCCAAACAGCCAGCCAGCAGGGGCATGCCACTCTCAGAAGCCCCCGAACAATGGGAGAATGTTAAAAAACACCATTACCTCCAAACTTTGGTAATACATCCTAAAGAGTTGTCTCAGGCACCAGCACCACCTTCTTACCCTCTGCCTTAAATGATTCAAAAGCAGTCACTATAATGAACCAAAGGGCAGTTGCAAGGTTGAGGTCATCTCCATAAAGGTATTATTTTCCATTTTTATTACGGAAATATGGCTTCACAGCTCTAGAACTGCTAATACACAGCCGGCCAGTGGCCAGCATGCTTATAATAGTCAGTATTCCCTCACTGCTATTCTTTGCCCATTCTGGCAAGGAGTGGCAAGAGGAGTTCTCCAACCTGCAGTAGAGGCTACTTTAACCCTGTGGCCAACAGACTCCCAGGCAGATCTCGCTCATTTACTGAACACATCACATTGACAAATCAGGGCCAGCACCTTATCCTCTACTTCAGGCTTTTGTTCTTTACCCTTTTAGAAGCCACTTTCAGAAAATCTGTCTGGAAATGTGCGTGTTTAAGCTGATACAATAGAGCTCTGGAGCCTCACACGTATCACCGTTGGGGAAACACTAGCAGTTTGCTAGCCACATTTTGCCATCAGATAAGCATGAGATCAGCTCCCCCTGACACCAGCTGACAAACTCTGCTTCCAGAAGCCCCGCAGCCAGCAGAAGTCCTCTGTCTACCTCCGAGAGTGAAATCCAGCCCTGACACGTTTTTCTCTGCTCCCAAAGGCAGGCTGCCTTCTGTGGAAATTTTTATTTCAACAGGCCACACAGAAAGAAACATTTTTTACAGATGTTCTATTCCAGAAATAATTATGAGGGAAGAAAATAACTATTACGTTTCACTTATTCCAGCTCAAAGAAATAACTTAAAACTTCACATAACCACTCTGCTATTTGGGTACTTGGTAATACACCTACAAAAGACACCATGCTTGTCTTATTCTTGCATTGCTGTAAAATTATCGACACACTTTTTGGTTCAGGCAGTTCAAACAACTGCTCATGTGCTGTTCATCACCCTTGGTGTTGCTGGGTGCTAACCATGGGGAAGGAGCTGTTGACTACATGATAGTAGAAAGCAAGAAATGTAGTAGATATAACCAACTTTTTGGTGTACACACTGATGTTAGCTCACAAGGGCAAAAACTGGGTTTGGGAAAAAGAGTTGACACATTTCAGCTTTGGTGTTCACTCCAGAGGTCCAACATTAGATCCCTTTCTTCCCTTCCAAGTTGATGGAAATGGGAGGGGGGCAATTGCAAGCAGCTACACGAGAAGCATGAAGTCCAAATGCAAAAAGTCCTACCTCCCCCTAGATGGTTGCACCCATGACAACTTTAAGCATGGAACTGATAACCTGGGTTTTCAGTTGAGCCTTTGCTATTCAATTCCTACTTGTGCATATGAAAGTTTTCCAGGCAGGGGATGCTGCTTTTCCATGGAGTAGGCAGCGTGAAACCCCTGAGCCACTAGCTTCCAGGCCTCCCACCCTCATAAAGACACACAGGCTTTTCTTTTAGGCTAGGAATTAGCTTTTAAGGTCCAACCTCATTGTACCTGAGTCACATCTGCAGGGCCGAGCCCCTTTGAACGCAGTACAACAGACTACAGAGAGCAGACCACAAACATAATAGTGAACGAAGCCCCGCGAGGGCTTTGAAGAGACCTCCTCGTAATGCCGAGTTCCCAAAGATCTCCTCTACTCTGCAGGCATTAGAGCCGTTCATAGCTCTTTCCTTTTGGGATGTTACTAGCAATTTTTCATGTCAGACTGGATTACACACGTTACTTTGCATGTTGTAATGTGAATAGCACTGTGATTAATCCTCACAGGATAGTACGTCGGCCAACATTTTCCCTTTCTAGGAAGAGTAACTGCACAGTGGTGGTATGTTGTTTTTGTTAGTTTTTGGTGTTTTGGTTTTTTTTAATAAGGAAAATACTAGTGAAGTCCTGAGCCTGAAAATAAATATTTAAATGGATGGGTAGTTAGATTTTTCACTGGGCAATAATCAGTCAGCCATGTTAATTATGTGTCTGGGGGTAGCATTTCCCTGACCCTAAGTGATGGCAACCTATTCAGCGCATCTTTACACCTAACTGACTGAACATCTCTGAAGTAGGAACATCTGCAGAAAATGCTTCAGTGACAAATAAACTCCATCTATGTTGCTTTTAATAGAACCAACAATCCCTAGTATGAACCCAGGGCATTTTCTTAGCATCAGGTGGCAGCAGTCAATCAAAGAATCACACTGTACATGCACCAGGAGGAAAGACAATGAGGTCTGCTCAGGGGGAGGCTAGGTGGGTTTAGGGCTGAAGCCTCCACATCAAGACTGATTTAGAAAGAAATCACACTTTGCTGCATGCTTTGTCAATGTAACTTAGCTTCGCTGCCAAGGAAAAAGTCACAGGCCAAACTCTGGGCCAGGGTGAATCAGCAGGGCAGGGCTCTACCACCCTCCGTGCAGTTATGCTGATCTACACCTGGTACGCATCGGTCCCCAACCTCCTAACACAGCCCGACAAGCACCGCAGTGCCCCTTGTCCAGCCTGAGCCACGTTAACACATCCCCTTAGTCTATGAAAACTGGGAGGGAATTAAAGCTCTCATCTGCTCTTGTCTATTTATGCTGTTTTAACTACTGGCATTTTCCTTGGCTTGAACAACAAACCTGAACAATTTCACTCCTGGGCTTGCATGTGCAACTACCATGCCGAACGATTTGGATTAGCACTGTGGGGGAGTGCTTTGTTAAAAATACTCAGCACAAACTATTTCTATGTGAGTAAAAGTATAGTTCCAATGGCTCAAAAGTTGAAGCCAAGCCAGACCTAACTCGTACTTCTTTCATACAGCAGCATACACAGTTGCAGAAAGTGATATGCTTTAAAAATACTTGTTGAATTTCTTTTAGAGGAGAACATTACCAAAAAGGCAGCAGTGATTGGGAAGGTGAGAGCAGATTCTCAGCAGGTCTAAGTCAGCATTGCTCGAGGAAAATCAGTGAAGCAACACTGATTTTAAGCCAACAAAGAGGATTGGGCTTCCCTTTCTGACTGCATGCATGGACTTTAAAAATCACTGTCGGGAAGGAGCGCACACTAGAAGTAGCCATGTGTCCCAAGTTGGTGGCGGATCAGTGGCCTTTCATTGTTTTTCTCACTATGGAGTTGTCTTGTATCTTGTATGTTTTATTAGTTAATACATTTATTTTTTGAGTTGTGCAGCAAAGACTTTTTCTCCCTTCCCTCCCATTCCCTTCATCTCCTCCTCTCCCCAAGCCCTCCTCCTCCTCCTCTTCCCAGTTGCTTTACCTTCAAGGATGATTTGTTTTATTAAACTGACTGTCCCCAGCCTCTGCAGTACATAATAAAAGCCTGACATAGCAGCCTGCCTGCCTTCTGTGTCCTGCAGATACTCATCATAAGTGTCAGGACATACCAAGGTTAGCGGTCACTGGAAGTGCGCTCACTGGCTCAAGCCTTGCCAAACATGCTTGGCAGCTGAATGAATGTCACAGAGAATAGAAGGGGAATTACAAAGGTTAGAAAGAAGACAGCCTCTCTCTCTCTCTCTCTCTTTTTTTTTTTCCTGGAGATATATAAGCTGATTTTTCACACTTCTGAAATAAACATCAGCTCATTCACAGTCTCTTTCCAGCACCTAAATCTCTCCCATTGTCAAGCAAACCTTTAATTTCTACCCAAGCCTTATTTCTTCATTAGCAAAATAAGATGCTTATTTCTCTCTTAAGAGAAAAGGGGGAAAACACCAAAACCAAATAAAAAAACAAGTCACCAGTCTGCTCAAAGATTTTTATGTGTATTTCATGTCGTTAATCCTATTAAGGGTGGGCTTCTTTACAGTTAATCTTTTAAACTTTCAAAAATTTTTGCTCAAGTGGCAAATCTAGATGATAGAAAAAGCAATACAGATGTAAAGATCACAGAATTGTGAAAGTCAAGTTAAAACCAATATTCCAGAGAATTGTGTTTTGTTTTTTTACTATAAAAGGGCAATAAAATGCTGACTGTAAGAAGACAATGTCAAGGAGAAAAGGGTATTGGTATTTTGGATACTCTTGACTGCTCGCCTTGGAGAGAGAGTTATTCTTGTCACAAACCCTTTTGTCTGCATCTGCTGACTGCTTGCCTGTAGCCAGCAGCATACTTTAACTGTTTTGTCACCTCCTAACATCACATGCATC